CTTAGGCTGGTAACTGGTTTTAGTTAGTCTAAGATGGTCTATGATAGTTTTAAATGGTATCTGGTTGGTCTTTGATGGTTTACCTGAGTGGGTCACCAGTTGGTCATGCTCATGTGGCCGGTCTATTAAGCTGGTCATGCTGGTATGATAAGCTAAACCAGTTAGAATGACCATCATGAGCTGATATGACCAGCTACACCAGGGATCTGGACCTCGATTCCAAATCCAGGCCTTGTTTTCAGTTCTCCCAGGTAGTTAGTTTAATAATTACTGATTCTGATTGGTCAGAGGCTTCACACCTGACTGACAGGTAAGGGAAGGCTGGAAAACCAGCAGTGCTCCGACCTCGAGGACCGTGATTTGAAAAACCCTGAGCTAAACCATCAAACCATCATCTGAATACACATCATAAACTGATCAATCAGCTTAATCGGCTTAAGCTCGTCACACTGTTTTTTTCAGCAGAGAGTGTCCAGTTTAAACAACAAAAACATGAACTATAGCCTAACATATAGCAGCAGCACGCAAGTCCAATAAATACAATTTATGTCATTATTAAACAAAAACAAAAAATGCTGAAGTGCGTCCATTGAATGTGTTCATGCTTAAATATCCAGTCGTTCCTTTAGAGCAGTTCTGTTAGATTCATATGGAATAATGAGGTCAGACTCACCAGCTGCAGCCAAGCATTTGTGACCAGCACTTGGTTCTTTTCATCCTTAAAAAGAAAAAACAAGGACATCCATTAAATGGAGTGCAATGAAAATGCTTAGCGATGCTATACGTATTTTTAGGCCGTTCAAATGAAGGACAATTGTGGGAAACTGAACAACTTCTCTGGCTTGTCCATGACACACTTTTATTCCCTCCCATGTCATCTGCGTTACATTTTCATCATTCCATTGATTAATCCTGGGCAGGGTCATCTGAGAGCCTGTAGTCTATCCCAGGCAGTTTGATGGTTTGAGGGCTACAGAACGCCACCCCATCACAGGACACATGCCCCCAGTCTACAGACCATTTACAGACACTAAATTTGTATTCCCAAGATGGGGAATATATATGGTGTTGGTACCGGTATGTCGCCAGTACCACAGACAGTTTCTCAGTGGCACAATAACTCAAAAAGTATTTGCCAGATCTTTTTCAAACTTAGCAGAAACATTTCATGGGTGACTACCTAGAAATTGTTCAATTCTGAACCAGATCGGCCAAAAATTGAAGCAGCGCTGCATAGTGATAGAAAATAAAAGGGCAGTTTTGACACTTGATCCCGGTAGCATTGACAACTCAAAGTATTTGACAGATCCTTTTCAAGTTTTGCTCATGGGAGTTTTACTTGCGTGTGTTCATTGAAACCTAATCCCAGTTGTCACATAAATTGTTGAATCCTTTGTCTGTGCAGTAACATTTGATCTCAGAAGAAAACCACAATGGGGTCAGTATGCATCTGTATGACATTACATAGTAGCTACTTAGTTATACCATTGGTGTGTCTGTTGAGATACCTCCTGTTATATCGCGGAAAAGGTTTGTCATAATGCAAATGAGAAAATAGTAAATGGAATATAAATATTTAGATATATAAAGAATAAAAACAATATAAATTACATTTTAAGACATGCAAGGTAAAGAATAGGCACTTATCACATTGTGTTGCTGCACTCCCCACATGGCAAACTACCTCAGGAATGAGAACCTGAGTGCAGCTGTGCAGCAGGTGATACCTCAGCACCACACTAGTCTGGATAGACCAATGTGAGTGTTTTTCTGTTGACTAGAGAGCCAATCACAACAAAGTAGGGTCACTCCCGGCATTCAGTGGATTCAAACCAGCAACAGATCCTTAGCCTCAGAACCACCACTACAGCCCATACCTAAGAAACGTAGATTAAGAAATACACAAAATAATATAGTTAACCACCTAAACGGTAGGGAAGAAATGTGCAAATTAGCATGCAAATGAAATGTGCACTAAATTTAATAGAGGTAGTTTCAGAGTTACATGTCAAAATAAAAGTCAGAGCATTCATGTAAAAATATATGTTGACTTTCACATTTCTACTTGATCATCCAGTAATTCTAGAAACTGTGGCAGTTGGAGGGTGAGGGAAGAGTAGGGATTAGACAGGTGGAGGGGTGACGGGGCTGTCTGGGAATATCTTGCCGTCATTCCCACATCATCTTTTCTAGGTACAGTAACCTAAATGCAGTGTTTCCCATCCCAGGCTTCGAACCTATAACCCTGGAGGTGTTAAATGAGCTGCTTTGTTTACACTTGCTTTGCACAAATCAGTAACTATTCATCCTCTTGCAGAGGAAACAATGGAAATTCTAAACAAAAAAAAAGCCTTTTGTGTGTAAGCGAGTTCATACAATCTTAAGGGTCAAATTAACTCAATCACTGGAAGATTCTGTCAGCTTCAGCACAAGGTGCTGTTTGTCTGTGAGCTGCTTTTCCTGATGAAGTGAGAAAAACAATGGCCAAACAGCAAAGCTTAGGCCAAAGCAAATATCCCCAAGAGCAAATCAACAGTGCTGGAGGAAACTTTGACCCTTGGATGTCTCTGCTGTCATGCCAAAAGCAGAAGGGTCAGCTTTTGGTTAAACACTAAGGGAGCAAATCAGCTATAAGACAGCACTGAAACATTCCACCCTGCACACAAAGGACAGAGAAGACAGGGTCTGCTATTCCTCCACTGTGCTGTATACATCCCACATTAACAATAGCATGGAAAACATTGGAATTTATCGCCACAACTTTGTTGGAAACATGCCAGACATTTCTCCCCACTATTCATCGGTTCACCATGTTTGGTAGCCAGAACGTCATAACTTGGTGCCTGTATCACAAAGCAGGATTTCTTGTTTAGCCACATAACTTGTCAGATTTAAGGTAATCTTGGTTAAATGTAAATGAATGAAGATACAGTGCATTTTAACCAGGGTACCTTTAATCCGACAAGCTATCTAGCTAACCAACAAATCTCACTTTGTGATGCAGGCCCCCATGTGCTTTGTGTTTGTCCACTGATGGGCCAGTTAGGTTTGTGTTAGGCCTTGCGGTTTGTGTTAGGCCTTGCGGTTTGTGTTAGGCCTTGCGGTTTGTGTTAGGCCTTGCGGTTTGTGTTAGGCCTTGCGGTTTGTCATGACTGAGTGAGATTTGACAGCTCCTTACTTAAATGTCCCAAAATTCCAGAAGAGCACTGATCGACTGAACCCCAAAGTGGCAGATAAAATGAAAAACAGGCAGAAACTTCGGGAACCCCATCAGGCATATGTTACACAACACCCTAACTTACAGGTTGTTTCAGCTAACAGGAATGTAATATGCAACTTAATCTCCTGATTTCTAAAACGATCAGTTTCAAGTTCACTATCAAGTCAAATGATATCTTGACACATGGAAGCACCCAAAAGCATCAGAAACATGATGGGGAAAGCAAAAGGGCCCAGGCCACCATCACAGTTCTTCTTGACTTGTTCCAACTCTTCCTTGCAATCCTATTACTGTCTTTCACTTCTGTTTTGACAAGAACCCCAGACCAGAATTATCTATGTTGGACCCAATTCCTTTTACATTTGTTTGCTGACTGGTTAACTGTGAAAAGTAAGCTTCCTAAATAAATTGTAAACACCTGAACTCTGTGTGGGGTGACTCGCTTTACACAGCAGATAATTAAAGAGGTCCTCTTTTACGTGGATCAGTCGCTTTTACTCTGCCATTAAAATAACTCTCCCTATAAAAACATTATAACTGCAGCATAATCTCCAAAATACTCAATAAATTGAAGTCATTCACGGATTAATCACCTCCTCACAGCCCATTTTATATGTGAATGTATTTCACAGCTGTTTAATGCATGTATGTTCAGGCAATTTTAACCTGAATGTTTATTTTCAATGCAACTTAATGCTGTATGTCACTTCTGCAAATTTTATATAATTTATTTCAGAATATTCAAGTTGTAATGGTTACTGCTTCAGGAATGTTCCATCCATCCATATTACTGAAACAATGATATGCAAAAGGAATATCTAAAAAAAAAAAAAAATCTGTGTTGTCAGTTTAAAGTGGAAACGGATAACAAAGCTCTGCGTATTTTCAGTACTGAGTCGTCACTTTCCCTCAGAGGGGTTTTACACAAGCAGCTCTCTAAAACAGATTTTTTTAAAAATCTGTTTCTGAAAGCTTCCTGAAACTTTTCCCTGAACCCCCCCCGTGTCACCCCTCCTTCCTGCCGCATCCCTACTTTCCATGAAGGGGAATTTCTCAATGCTGGAATCCTGTCAAGGACGATCTGCCCCGCCCCCCCCCAATTCAAATCTGTGCATCAGCTATCCGGCTAATTCACTTTCCGGGGGGTGGGAAGGGGGCGGAGGGGTGTTCCACAAAGCAGGAATTCTCAGTTTACTTAAGCCAGAAGTTGTCCAATCATCCAATAAGACTTTAGGTAAGGAATATTCCTATTGGATAATCATGACTTGTTTATTGTGCAAGTTGAATAAATAGATGCAACTATTTTAACATGAACTGTAAATATATAATATGGCTGCCATGTTATCTGCATCGCTGGTGTTAGCTGCCATTGGGCTTCCTCTGATCTCCATAAGACAGTTCTTCTGATTGAACTTGGAGCGTCCTGCTTAATATGCGGCCCGTCTATTTCAGAGCAGAGATTTTTTTCCCCTCCCTGACAGCGGGAGAGCATGCTTTGTAGCGGAGTCCGACTTCAGCCTATCAGCCGGTTCCGAGGCCCCGTCTCTCGCACTTGCAGCGCACCCTGTGCCCTCCAGATGGCGCTTCGCCACCGTGAGTCCTGGCAGATCTCTCCCTCCCAGGCGGGGGCGCCGGCGCACAGGGGCGGACAGCTATGTGATGCCCTTCTGTACCAAGCGCCTTTCTTTACATTAAAATACATTTTTCATGCCATTTTTCTCATCACATTTAAACCAACAATGAGGAGCATTTTGTTAACAGCTCTCTGCTATTCGGTTCTAGCTATATAGCAGGACAGAAGGTCCTTCTAGAAGCTCAGCATCAAACGACGAGGCCTGGAATAACTTTGGTGTTGAATATAATCTCAGTAGCATGACAGAGCTAAAGACATTCCTTCCTGGTAGTGCGTGTGGGATTGGCCGGAGAGAGAGCTCACACCCAAACCCACCCACTCCGTGCCAAACCATCTACCCTCCACTTTCCTCTGTTTACCCACGTTACCCGCCACCCCCGCCTCCTCAGACACTCAGCCCCCTGAGGGAATCGCAGCATCTGTCCCGGTCCGGGAGCTCATCGACACGCAGTCACGCTTCTGAGATTTCATGGGTTGCTCTCCATCTGGCACCACCTTGCAGACCCTGAGGGGCTGAAGCTGATCGAATGCTCCCCTCCCCCCGCAACCGCAACATATATGGCTAAATTATCAAGCTAATTCCTGAGTATTACTGAATCATAGACATGGGACTTCCGGAAAACTCTGCACGACATCATGCGCTATAGCGGCTGATATGCTGGTAGTTTGCTATGGTGAACAGAATGTGTGGTACGACACAAAGAGGTGTCATCTCACTTCCTGTGTCTAGTACACAGTAAAACAGCAGCTTCATTTATCCCTCATCTGTCACCTTCTTACAGGTGAGAAAAGCAATTAACACCCCGTTGAAAGTTAGGCACATTACCCACTAGGCTTTTTATTGCCGTTGCTTCTGTGTCATTAAAAAAAAATAACAATAAAGGTTTAATGTTCTGAACTTATACACGGGCATCACAGTCATGAGCTTATTTCAGTTTAGCGCAAATAGATTTTTACGAATTCAGAGCGTACACTTCATTGTCACCCAGTAGCCATGCGACATAAGTTTCAAGGTGCCCTTGGGTACTCTACCTGCAGCTCTAAGCTTGTTGTATTTCCAGGAATGAATTTTACAGCCAGTTTTCAACTAAACTGACTCAATATGTTTTTCGCTATAAGGTGCTATAAGGGGGGCAAGGGCAGGGGGTCAATTCATGAAACGTAAAATTTGACTTCTGTAAGGGTTTTTGGAACAGATTTCTTCTGCGAGTCAAGATGACGGTGTAAGTAATCTAAATGGTGTGACACGACTTTTCAACATCGGCTTGCAATATCTGCCCGTCTAAGTTGATTTGCATGTTTCGACAGCCGAGATAAGACAGGCCCACTGAGGAATCTGCAGACCAGGCAGGGTCTGAGTTCTGCACTCAACTACATGCTCTCCCCTGTCACTCTTACTTGCCTGTTCCTGTCACCCGTGATTAACCTCAGAGAGGCAGACCTGCCGGCCTTCCTCCCATGCGTGATTAACCTCAGAGAGGCAGACCTGCAGGCCTTCCTCCCACGCGTGATTAACCTCAGAGAGGCAGACCTGCAGGCCTTCCTCAAGGCTTGATTAACCTCAGAGAGGCAGACCTGCAGGCCTTCCTCCCA